ATTTGAAGAAGTACTCACTCGTACGTACAAAGCTGGAGGGAAGGAGTGAGAGATAGTGGTGCATAACATGTACGAAGTGCTTTCTCCTCTTGCAGGAAACAAGTGCCATGCTGATGGTAGATAATTCACTCACATTTCAAGTTTTCTCCGGCAGAAATATAATAAGAAATGCGCCACCAGATTTAAGCATTAAGCCAGAAATGGAAAATATTTAAACTGTTAGTACATATTTCCAAGTCCGAGAATAATCCGAGAATGTTTGCACAATAGTAGCAATTCCTCCGCTGCACTTGTTCATTTAAGATTCTGGCCGTGTCCTCCTCATTGAATGTTGAATGACTTCACGGCAAAGCTGTTTGCCAGTAAAAATGCTGAATCGATTTGACTTTTGTGTAGTTCGAGTTGTTCTGTGCCACTCTGTTCGGATGGAGTGAAAGTCTCGTAGCGGTGGTGGTGGTCGTGGAGAACAGAACAATACGAGAACGACATCCAGAAAGAACAAGGCCATGCATGACTCTCGCTGTTAGTGTTAATGTCACTCTCTCTGCCTCTCTCTCCATCCACCCATTGCAATTCCAATCCACTTCCACAAAATGATCTACTTGGCTTTGGGTTCGTTTAGATTGGATGGAATGAACCCAAAGAAGGATATGTGCATTTGTCCCTGAATTTCTAAATTTAATTTAAGCTCAATACAGTGTACGTTTCGTAGTAGTATTTACGTCAAACATAGCTTTTTCCCACTGACAACTGAAAATTTGTTGTTGTTGTTCTCTGACGTCGTCGCCCTGATGAGCAGATAATTATAGGATGAAGGTGAAAGTTGTTTAATAATTAAGGCTAAAATATGCCTTGCCACGACCACAACTGGCCTTGAACTGGATCCTCATGTCACCACCGTCACACCCCAAACGCCCTTATTAACAATTCAATAGATAGTAATTCGTTGAAGATGAAAGGCCCCATATTCGCATCTAATTTGAATATTTTCACTCTCACATGAATAAAATCATGAGAAATAATAATTTATTTGGAATTCCACCTCGTCTCGCGGAACGAAACGATTTTTTGCAATGTACATACCACCAAGCAAGCAGCTCTTTCTTCCTTCTCGGTGAAAGTGAAAGGATAGGAATGTGAATTGCGAAACGGTATCGATTACACCGAGAAGTCGAGAAGAGAAAGCGGTCTGCTCTGCCAACCAGAAGGAACGAAACACTATACATAAGCACACACACAATGATCATAATAAAGATGCACAGCGCATCCAAAATCCAACCCGGTATCGGATTCACATTCAGTGGAACGATTTTGGCATGGGATCGAAATTATATAAATGTATGTACCGTGCAGCAAAGAAGTTGCTTTCTCCGTATAAAAACGGCTCTATTCTATCCTAAAGGCAATGCAAATAAATATTTGCATATTGGAAAAAGTGCGACATTTCCACCACGTAACTTATGAGCAGCCAAAGTATCTTCACGGCCAAGTCCATGACTCTCTAGTTAAGCAGCCAAGAGCCATTGTTATTTATACAGCGTGAGGAAGAAAGTGAATGGTGGTGGGTGGATGGTTTGGCGTAGTTTTGGCAGAATGGCCCTGTAGCCGTGCTGCTTTCACTCCTTTGCAACCACAAATAAATTCCTGTGCCGTCTTCCACCACCACCACCAAACACACAACCTCTCAAAGGAGAAATGACAATGGGAAACGCTCAAGTAAACTTTTTATGAGTCTTGTACCTCTTGGTATGAACGTATTTACTACGATATTCACGCCCGGATTACAATATGTTGAGAGCAGAAATGTCGTGTTGGATTGGAAAATGAGAAACATGTTCTGTAATTTAATGACAAATTCACCTGGTCCTTCTATGGATTACTTACTTTCTTTTTGCAGCTTTTTTTTTGTCGGTAAAAAGAAATATTTTATGTATTTCTTAACTTTTTCCTACTTTATGTGTATGCAAACATGATAATAAATACAAGTTTTTTTCAATTTTTAAGGCTTCTGTCCTCTTCTCCTGCGGAATACGAATGATCAAACGTCCCAAGACCTCGTGGTTAATCCATCCTGTCAGTAACAGCTTTTGTCTATCCGCTCCTCCTTTGCGAAAATCGCTTTCCTTGAGTAAGCATTGAGGCATGTAAAATATTACATGACATAGTCCCATTGCCTCGCTGAGCAAACAAGGACGAAAAGGAGAAGGTAGTGAATGGCAGGATGGAATAAATATAATTTTATAGTACTGCATATAAACTGAATGTTTCCTCCCATTATAAAATGCGATGGCATGTTTGTTGTCGTGCTCCACTGACTGACTGACTCACCTTCTTTTCCTTGTCGGATTCTTTCAACCTTACGAAGACTTTCGCGCATCTCCTGAGATTCATTTCACCGTCAAGAAATTCTATTCATTTCATGCTCATGGTTATTTATGCCATTTTGTAAATTGCGAAATTGTAAAGCCTTCTTTTGTTTAATGTTTTCTTCTCAAGGTTTCCTCTCCCGGTTAGCTGTCCTCAATTTCTTCTCTCATCACCATCAACAAATTGTGGCCACTGGTGATAACTGCATAATGGTCCGGTGGACAATGTGAAAGTGGCCCAATTTATTTTGGCGAGGTGATTTTTGACTTTTTTTCGTGGAGGTGGAGGTGGAGACCTTGAAATTTTGCCCCTCATTTGGGACACGAATTGAAAGAAAACATTCACACCAAGCAACAAGGGTCTTCTGGGCTTAACGAGAGTCAAAAGTTTCCTCTGGGATTTGTAAAGCCGGAGATGCCTTACTTTCTCTCCTTGACATGGGCAAAATGTACATATGGTGAGCTTCAAGTCTTCACCAATACTTTCTCGCCGCCATTACAACGACTGTTAGGAGGAAATCAATATATGTATCGCATTATGGTATCCAGGTCGTCTAAAAAAACTGGTCGTGGGTAAAAGTTTCCTGAAAGTTATGAAGACGTCGGCAAGGATTGGTCGGATATTTGGATATTACTGGAGAATCTAGACGGGGAAAAAGGATGGAGAGGAAACACATTCAAATTTCCTTGAATTCGGAATAAGAAACCTTGCATAAAAAAGGCACAGCACTTTCTCTCTCTGAGAGATCTCTTCCTCGGCGTGAAGGCATCCTCCTAAATTTTGCATATCTTGGTTTTGCACACGTTTTCGCCTTCAACAAAAATGAGTTCAAAGAGGATTTGTTGTCTTGTTGTGCGATGCTGCTCTATCCTCCATCCTCCTCCCGCATATCTTAATGTGTAACACAAAAACGGGGAAAGGGTTGGGAGGGATAAGAGGCATGAGTCAAAAAGTCAAATCAGCAGCAGCATCGTCCCAGCTTAATCTCTGTGTGTGGGTGCTTTTTACCCCCGCCTCGCGAGAAGAAGAATTCTGGAACACCCGGATGTTGAGCGATCAAGTAGGAAGACGGAAAGAAGGAACGCTTGCTTGATTTCGACTCGAGATTTTTGCAAGTGAGATATTTCCGTCTTTTATCATCTTTCATATCCAATATTCCGACCAGGATGGAATAGCAAAGTGGAAAATATCTACATTTTTGCTGAGTTAGTAGTCCACCAGTCAACGCACTGTTTGTACGTACTCCTCCCACTCTCGGAAAAGCTAGAAAACGCTAAGCTGAGAAGGTTTAACTTTTTCAAGAATTTTTATTTTTATAGCGAAACGTAAATAAAAATAAAGGAAGAAAAAATAACGAATTTTGCAGTCCCATCCAGCAGAAGAAGAAGATTGGTGGAGATATTGAAGATTGGCAATATGCGATATGTGTAGATATGTGTATGTGTGGATATGTGTATATGTATATGTGGATGTGTGTGGAGAAGAAAATGTGGAGAAGAAAATGGATTGTTTGGTTTTGGCATTTTATGTTTCTCTGCTCCACTTTCTCCAGATGAAGAATGCACTCGTGCCGTAATGCTTATCTTTCCCCGTTAAGCCACGATACAAAATTCCTAAAGAGAAAGTCTTATGGATTTGGCTCTCTTTCTGTGTTGTTGGTCAATTTACTTTGCAATTTTAACTCTTCATAGTTTACTCTGAGACGATGTCCTTGTTGTGTTGTTCCTTGTCCTTTGTGATGTTGTGATGTTGTTGTAATGGGAGTCTTTATGCTTCACTGCGTCTTATGATCCTCTTAAAAATCTGGACTGGGCCATGGCTCAATGGTTGTCGTAGGTATTGGCCAGACACAAAAAATGATGCTGTTTCGTAAAAAAAATTCATTTTGTTAATGCAATTTCCACTTTAGAAGACACACACTCGCTCGGAATCCAAAAATGGACGAGTCAGTTGGGTTGGCTGCTTATGGGGATTATGGGGAGCTGACCGATTCGACTAAAATATGAACATGATGCGAATAACATTAGGAATGGAACGTTTGGATCATCAAACCCAGCCGCAATGGTCTCTCTCGTATATATAAGTGGGGAATGGAGGAAATAATGGTATGTCTATGATGATAACGACCGAAATTGCGCTCTAGTCTGGTTCATATCCTCCCCGAAATGGGAAATGATTGCTACCGACAAGGAGGATAAGTGAAGTGTGGCTGCTTCTTTTTCAGGGCATTTATGTATGTATGCGGTTACGTACGTCCCTGCGACGTGATGATATTCCGATCCCACATATTTTCTCGGGTAGTGAAAGTTGAGCCGTGTTTTGCAAAAGATGAGATGTGAAAAAATTCCTTGATTACATAAGTATGCAACGAAATGGAGGAACGTTGTCGTCAAGTCGGAGAGTATGTATTTCAAATTTTGAAGCATCCGTAATATTGATAAATTCCTGGGGAGGAAAGTTTTCAAAAAAATGTTGACATATTCAGCACGCGTCTTTTGCGTGAGTGAGTGAAATTTAGTTCCTTCATTTTGTTTATGTGCCCCATTTTTTAAGAGAATGGGATATTGAATGGATGGCAGTACGGTACGGTATGCATGCATATGGGAAAGATAAATTTCACACTTGAGCAGAACTTTGTTGGGTAAAAAGACAGTCTTTTTCACTGGATTGGATGGGAGCTCACTCAATCCATAAAATTTATTTATACTGTTGTGTATATATCACATAACAATGACAATGATAATAAAGTCAAATCCAAAACTCCAAACAGACCTGAATAACAACTTCTTACAACGAGATAAGGATATAGCATCAATGGTTACAGACACGTATTGTAAAGTTTTTTAAAATCTATGCATGATTCGAGTTTGCAGTAAAAGTTGCAGTGAATTGATTCTTAGAATATTGTCTACTACAAATTTTTTGCAGTAAGTTTGCAGTCTGAATTGTCAAAAAGTTCAGTAGGAGAATATTGGAGTACGTACGTTTAATTATCATTGTTGAGATTGATGTAGGTAGGTATTTGAATGTGTAATAATATGTATAACTTAATAAAATATCGGTGATTTTACTTTGTACGTCTACTACTGCGAATATATAGAATTATGCAAATATGTACTTGACCTATGATTAATTATGTATATTATATATATATTCTAATGACTTAAGAATATGAGTGGTGGACTAAATGGTAAATAAGTAAGTCCGGATTTCTACTTCTTGGTTTTACTCCAGCACGATTTCTGACTCTACGTTTAGTCCAAGAAGCTCATCTCCAGGTGATTCGTACTCGGGCATCTGGAAACAAAGAGAGAAAAATCATGAGTTTTTTATATAAACCTTTTGACACAAAGGGTTGATATGTTTGTCAGAGATAAGCAAAAAAAAGAAGCGAGAGTGAAATCATACAAAGTAAGATGTACATAAAAGAGGAAGCAGAAAATCGCAATACAATTTTGCATCGCCGACTTCTCGGTATTCCCATTACATTCCTACACAATTCTAGTATCCGTTTTCTTCTTCAGTAGTAGAAAGCGAAGGAATAAAGTGGACCGTGGCATCCTAACCTGACCAAGATTCGGATCGGTTTACTTGATGTCTTTCATTTCAATAAAGCAAACCAAGTCTGCCAATTTTGCACGCGAGACATGACCAGTGACAAAATCCAGCCAGAGACAACAATGACATCCAGAAACGAAGTACGTAAAAGATTATTTTCATTCAACTCTGTTTCGCAGCAGAATTATAGTTTGGTTTAACTCTGTGTTTGTGAGATGGACCATGTTCTCCATTATTATTACGCGATTCGACCCAGCCAAGCCAGCTATACAGGAACTGGTGGAACATTGGCAGGATTACGATGCTCTCCTTCCTCCCTTTCTTCTTCTCCAAAGGAGATTCCAATCTGCTGGAATCTTCATTTTTATCGCTCTTTTTCTGTTGAGTGCTCAAACTTCAAAAATGTTGTTGAAACCGAAGGAACCAAACCCATCCAATTCACCTTCCCTTTTTTCTCATTCTGGACGAATGGGTTCCCATAATACCACGACGACGATGGTTATTTGGCCGAGAATACCTTTTACACAGTCCAACCACCAAGACCACTCGGATGAAAAGCAGGTCTCCTCGAGGATAAGATGGATCTTCTTCTACTCACTTTTTACACCAGGAGGAGAAGAGGCAACCCTTTCCTACGAGAAGTAGTAGTAGTTCTAGAGTGGGTGGGTAATAGCGTATCATTTACTTTACTTGCTAACACCACCACCTTGTCCTTTCGTCTATATGCTTATCTATCCTTATCTGCTTCTCCTATGACTCGGGCATCTCTATTGTTGGATCATTGGATTGGATATCACTTCACCTCTATCAAATATCTGGTTGGGCAAAACAACCTGGATTCTAGAAAAAACTTTTCTTGTCCTTTTAACACAGACCTGAGAACTGATGTCCTTCTCACATACCTATAATTTTGGGGCTGTTGAAAACACTCTTTCTGTCGATTCAAGTGTCATTTAGAAAGTTTGCTTCACTCTACTTGCTGGGAAGAGAGAGAAGCTCTTCTTATTAGGCTTATTATACCGTGTCATTTTTATTGTCTGTTTCTATTCCCTCCTTATTATGATAAGACACGACAGTTATCTTCGTCTTGTAACAGTGATAGCGGCGGCAAGGGGCATATGTGTGAGCCTTGTAGGGACGTGAAAATGGTTCAAGTGGGCCTATTAAGAAGACTGAGAACGGTTGAAAAGTACCCTTCACTCTGCTTCACCTACATACGTACATTCCTACCTAGTTAACTTTTAACTGCCTCAAGTGTTAAGTGACCCTGGTATTCTCACGTAGAAGCGATGTATTACTCACTCTAACCCAAAAGTGTCAATGTCTTTCTTTCCCAATTCTGGTGTCATTGTTTTATCTGGAGCGATCTCTGCATTCACTTTGTTTGTTAAAGATAGATGAGACGAGGATTGGAAATGGATGGATGGATGAATGGTGTTGAGGATGGAAATGGTTTGTTTGGATAAAAGTCGACGATTTTTCCCTCGATAAGGATTCGTTTGGTCAGCAGAGGCTGCATTGATAAACAAACACCAGAAAACCATTCATCCATCCATCCATTTGTTTTTGCAGCTTGCGTTAAATAACCATTTCTTAAAAGCATCTGGACCTCGACTCTTATTTTTGGGGTTGAGTTGGTCAGTTTTTGGTCGTCACATGTACCCTTCTTAAAGGAAAAGATTGACCATGTATGCACGACTGCTGCTGATTCAAGAAAAAGTGGGCACGAACGAAGTTCAAATAAAAATCTTTCGTCGCCAAACTTATTTTAACACTCCAATCATCTCTCCCAACCTATTTACGGTGGCTGACTGAGATATATGCAGAATGCACTGCCTGCCTAATAAGAGGGAGAACAATGAACATGAAAATAAATGAGCCATTGGTGAAAATTAAATGGAAATTGCATCGCATCGCATAGAAAGTATCCGCCTTCACTCGTGCTAGATATTCGAAAGCCAACTGTATGTAGCTTTTCCTGCCCTGTATTTTTTGTAAAAAAACTTCTTCTTTCAAAACTTGGAGAGAGTAAAAATAAATGACACTTTCAGACTTCAAATTTGGCTCTAGTTACTACTTACTTTTAGTTAGTTACTTCCTATAAAAGAGGGGGAACAGACAAGGCTTTTGTGCCTGATTTTACTCACTTTCTTTCTTGTGCGAATTTCCCCGAAGGGAAATCATAAAATAGGAATAGAAGAAGCGGAGAAAAAAAAATTATCGGACTAAACTATAACATCCTCTCTTCCATCCGTGTAATAATAATACGAATACTTCAGAGCTAGTGAGTGAGAAGGAAGGTGAAATTCGCAATTTTTCGTACAATGTTCCCCGTTGAATGTGCCAGCCATGGAACGCATTCATTCACACAGGAGCAAAAAAAAATCCTAGGGTGCATAGAACTATGTGCTGCCTATCTACGCCTACTTCTTCTTATGCATATTTGATTCGCAATCTGCATAAAATTTACGGATGAATAGGCCACTTCTTCAACATGAATGGGAAATAGTTTGAGAAAGAGATTTGTGTTTGAGTTTTTCTCTCAAGACTTTTTTAAAAATTCTCACGGCAGTCACGACAGAATTTGTAAAAGAGCAAAGTTTGAAGTTAAATTGTTTGTTTTTAAAACATTGGTGAGAGTAATGAAAAGTCAACTTTTGGACAGCAACCAGGCACCAATACATGTTATACGTAGGGGCAATTTGGCTTTTCAAGTCCCCTGATAATTTTTAACTGGAAGAGCTGCATATTACTTAATGGAAAGTGAAAAAAATGAGCAGACTGCATGATGCTGATGCCCCCATAATATAATCATCATCCCTCTTCCGACCAACCAAAGTGTAAAGGAACTTTATACACGAACCTCGGAGAAAGTTACAGAATTTGCAATTCAAAATCAAAGTCTGAAATGAAAAGGCATAATTTCGCTGAACGATAATAAAGTAAAGTGGTGTGGCCGTGGTGGGTGGATGTCTGTCTTTCTGCAGCACTAAGTGGGAAAAATGTGGAAATGTTATATTGTAAATGTGTTGAAGGGAAAGAGAGAGAGTGTTCTTCCTTTTTGACTTTTACAATTTGACTTTTTGTACTTTTCCCCTGTCACTGAAATTCATACGATTATTATGCAGCCAGACATGAGAAGGAGGAGGAGGAAAGTTTTCAAGTCAATGAACCAACTCATATTTAGAGTTGGGAAAGAATAACCTTCAAAAATCTTAAGTTAAGTGGTAAGCGACGTCCCCTTTTTGCAGAACTTTTGTCAAAAATATTTTCAATTTCCTCCTCTCCTCCACCCACGAAATCAAGCCTAACGACTTGCCATCCTTTATCTTGGGGGAAAGTTTGTTGAACAATTTGCGAAAAGTTGCATCTCATGGAAGTCGAGTACACTAACATGTAACGACTGTTATGAAATTAGTTTATGACCTAGTAAACCCAAGTTAACTTGGATAATTAGCTTGCATTTGTTTTTACAACTTTGCTTTCTGCTGCTTTCCTTATCTTGATAAGAATCTCGCTCATTTCATTTCATTCACCACCGTCTTGGTTATTTTAGAACCTTTAAATTTCGCGTAAAACGACTAAGGCGTGTTTGTCCCAGAGCTATTTCAATTGAATATCCAAGGTTTAGGATGTGGTGTTTGTTTGTGGAGAAAGTGGCAGTGCTCTAGTCACGCGGGGTGTGTGTGCGAGTAAGTAAATGTAAGTGGAGCTGAAAGGGCGAGATAAAGCAAAAAGTGGGAAAGCTTTCACTTCCAAGGCCAGATTTATGACTCTGGCTGCTCCCAGGAAATTGAGACATGAAGAAGAGCACGCATACTTCGAACTGCGAGGGAGGAGGAGAAAGTGGAACTAATGGCAATCATTGCACCACTACCATCGTCTCTCTCGGAGATATTGAAGTCGAGCCAAATAACGGTGAAGAATGCGTCATGGTGAAAGCAAGGGAAAGGAAATTAATTAAAGAATTTGCATTCAAAAGTGAAAACAAGAAGTAACCAAAGTGTGTGACGACAGCTGCGGTAATTCATACGACTCGTCGTCTGAGTGAAAGTAAATACGGTAATAATGTGCTTACCTGGAAGTAATGATAATCCGGAATTAATTGTAATTGTCACGCCCATAACGGAGCCGGTGTGGGTGGTGGGGGACGCCTCGGTGCGGGGAATGGAGGCGGGGGACGATTCGGTGGGGGAAATGGGGGCACAAACATTGGCACTGACACTGAATGTTGTTGTCCTTGATGGTACGAGGGAAGTGTCCCATTCCCATTAAGGACACCGTTCTGATGGAGGTGGGGCTGCTGTTGATGGTGGTGATGGTGGTGGTGATGATTATTTAACGTGTGATGATTAGAGACACTGGCACTACTCACATTAATATTTAGCGGGAGGGTGGACCCTCCAGTGGAACAGTTGTAATTATTACTAACACTACTCGCCACACTGCTCCCACTTCCAGGTCGGGTTAATGTTCGCGAAGAATTGGTGAAGGAAGCTCGAGGGTTGGGCAAAGCGCAGCGAAGCTTGGTCCAAAATAGTTTGTCGTTCGCGGAGAGGACGGTGGCTGGAGGAGTGGAGAAAAAATGTGGATTAATTTTGAGTAATAATGATTACTTGATGCGCTATACTCTGATGGAATTAAGACAGAATTAATGTAGATTAAAGAAGAGACTCACCTGAACGTAGGCAGACGCGAAGGTCCGGGTCCAGGTCACGGGTGGGCAGATCTCCCAAAGTTATCGCGACTAGGCGATTCTTTTTTCCGCGGAGGGCGGCATGAAGTGCCGATTTAAACTCGAACCGACACCATTCAGACTGCGCGAATAAGTAAGAAATTAATGATCGAGTCTAAAAAATTGAGACAAAATTATATGCAAATACATACCTGAAGAAAGTTCTTCGAGAGAACGAGCACCGTCCTTCTTGACGATTCGACCGCCTCCAGAACGGTATCAGCGATATACGACGTAACAGGAAAGTCCTTGTAATGCAGACACAGCCTGTACGGCTTGTCGCATTGTTGTTGAAGTTCATTCGCAAACACTTGACTGACCCATGTCTCGTCCTTCACACTGTGCAAATAGTGCCATTTGTTATAGTTGGGGAAGTCTTATGTATGCTCTGCTCATACGAAATCTGGGAAAATGTGATTAATTACATACCTGTAAGCCACATAGGCATCATACAGCTTTTCGTGATCATCATCCAAAGTTGTTTGATAGCAATGGTTCAAAGGGCACTTTCCAACGGCCCAGATTCTGAGAGAATTTCTCTTTCTGCACACGGCCACAAAGACGGAGCCGATGAGCAGCACGATGGCGGATATGGTGAGGAGGACGAGTGGAAAGTAGGGGGGGAGGTAAGTCTCTGGAGCTTCGACGGCACCAGACAATGCCGTAATTTCCGAGCACTTGGTTCCATTCATGTACACGAGGGAAAATTGCTGCCCGTTAAGGCGACAATTCACTTTCTGGGCATCCATCAGTTTAGCAACGTTGGATTGGATCCACGGAGCGGCTTGAGACAAGAAGTCGCAGTCACTGCAGGACCTAAAGGATAATCATTTATGGTGAGTGATGATGGTGTACAAGGGGTGAAATGAGACTAAAATGCAACTCCATGAATAAAGATTGCTTACCATGGATTGTTACCGAGGGCAAGCTCGATAAGGTAAGGGTTATGTGAGAATTGGTGGATGGTGAAGCGAGTTAATCGATTTCCGTCAATTCTGTTGTACCAAAGAGAATGCCATTAAATATTAGTTAGCTAAGAGATAGGCTACAAATGAGGCGATAATCTTACCTTAAGACCTCCAACATACGCAACGTGGTGAAAGTATTGTTGGCAATGAATTCGATCCGATTGTTTTGCAAATACACTTCCCTCACTGATTCTAATGGCTCAAGTTCAAAACCGTTGAGCGTTGTCAACTCATTAGAATCTAGTCGCAGAATCTCTAATCTCTTTAATCCGGAGAATGTCAAGTTTTGAATTCGGTAAATCGAACTTCCGTTCAGATATAGAACTCGCATATTCTTTCGCCCGATGAAAACATGGCTGTTTAATTCTCCAAAGTTATTTCCATCCAAGTAAACTTCTGTTGAATCCATTGGTATTCTCGCCGGAACGGAAATGTGACCCTTGTCAGCGCAGTCGACAATGTTAGCAGACCAAGTATCGTCGTGGTAGCAGGTACAGTTATTTGGACATGTCATTTCACAGTCGCTATAAATTTGAGTCAAGCCATTAGTATTTCGTAATGCAAAGTTTGATGACAAGTTATGCAATGAAATATGCACATATTTATGAGCACCATAAGTGAAAGTTACTCACCAGGCATCGAAATCACAACAATGACAAAGTGCGAAACAGTGTGTCTTATACGTGCACAGGAATTGCGACGGGTCAGCAACAGCTAGAGGGACGTAGAACTTATCTCGGTTGTAGACCAGCTTACAATACACGCTGTCCAGATCCATCACTTTGGGATGTTGTCTCAAATGGTCCAATTTATTGAGACGCTGCAACCACTCCATGTTGCAATCGCAGAGGATTGGATTCCCCGCAATGTAAAACTCTGGGAGAGGTTTGTTCATTGGAAAGGGTGCGAGTTGCATTGCTTTGAAGTCCATGGTTTCAATTTGATTGGCAAAAATGTCGACCCTTGAGAGATTGGCTTTCTTGTAGAATGTGTGTGGCTCCACTAGAGAAGGGTATGAATATTAATGATAACTTGGCTAAATTGGGTCTCAAGGATGACAAAACGATGTTATGTAAGTGAGTGATGTAAGTAATTTAAACAGTACTTTACTCACCAACAGAAATGAGATTATCGTTGAGGTAGAGCATTTCCACGCTGTCGGGGATGTTATTGGGACCGATTTTTGTGATCCTGTTGAACGAGGCGTCTAGTAAAATAATAAATAAAAGTTTAGTTTGACTTTTACTTTTAATTTGATTAATTTTATGTCTTGGGAAAAAGTTACCTAAAGTTTGGAGACGAAGGTTGCTCGCTTGAAAGTAGTTGCCCAAGTCTTGAATTTCTAAAAATTATACAACCCATTGATTCAGAATTTTCTTTGAAGCGTATTGAATTTGGTGTTTGCATAGTTAATTAATTAGTAATTGCGTAATCACCATTCTTGTGGATATCCACCCACTGCGTTTGTGGTGGTATGAGGGCAAAGTCGAACCATGTCAATGCATTGTCTGAGACATTCAGCATTAAAAGGTTGATGCTTTGGACGAAGATGTTGCTGATGTCTGTCAATGCATTCGAGTCGAATCTGCATCATGGCGAAAAAAATCGTTATGAAAATTGTTTACGAACAAGTTATGCAATTTTGTAAAGGGCGAGTGATATATTTACCGGATAGCTTGAATTTGCGTGTTTCTGTCAAGTGCTCCTTTTTCGATGAAATTGAGCTTGTTTTTAGCAATGTTCAAAACCTTCAAGCTTGGCAAGTCGGTGAGGTCATCCTTTGACAAGTTTTGTATCTTGTTTCCGGTGAGACGAAGACCGTACAAGTTTGGTAGTCCAATTAACTTGGGGGATAACTGTTCAATCTGGTTTTCTCCGAGGTCGACGGTTCGCAAAAGGGTGATATTTTGAATTGCGATGGGAATTGAAGTGAAAGCGTTTGCATTCAATTGCAAATCTTTCATTGAGGAACAGTTGGAGAAAGCGGTGGGATGGATGCCGGTCAAGGCGTTGTTATCGAGGGAAAGTAAACTCAGGACGAACAGCCCGTTAAGAGCAGTCGCATCGATGTAGGATAATTTGTTGTGGGACAAAATTAAGGTGTGCAAGTTGTTCATGGAGGAAAATGTGTTGGGCTGAAAAGTAAAAAGGGCGAATGGTTATGCATTTGTTGATGTTGTTTGATAATATGCATGCGAAAAGATGATGATGATGCAAAATAGGTAAGTTAAATTCATTTCTTACCTCAATCGTCTGGATTTCATTATGTTCCACATTTAAAATTTGGAGACTGTAAAGATCTTGAAATGGTTCCTGTTAAAGTGGAAAATAAAATGTATTCAAACTTGTCTTTCGCTATCCAATGGTGGATTCATAAATAATTTTTAAAATGAATGTCGCCTCACCGCTCCAAGTCTCGTTAACCGATTGTACGACAAGTTCAGCAAAACGAGGCGAATTAGTCCCGAAAATATACCGCTGGATGTCCCATTATTCATCGCCGTGGTTGTCGATACGGCCGTGGTCGGCTCTCTTTCCATTGTTGCGGAATCATTTGAAGTTGCATCACTTATCGGGCTGCTTGATCTCCCACCCATCATCCAATTCGAGGTTAACACATTATGCGAGAGGTCGAGAACGACCAACTTTTGCAAATTCTTAAACAATTTGGGTGGCAGCGAACTTAGCGTGTTGTTGCTCAAGATGATTTCCGTCATTTCTCTCGAATCTTTAAACAACGTCTCTGGCAGGGCGACCACCTTGTTGTCTGCCATGTTAAACACGCTCAACTCGGTGAGTCCGGCCAATGCTCGATCCGCCACGACTGAGATTTCATTTCCAGTCAAATACAGTTGAGACAGAGATCGCAATTTAGATAAGCCTCGGGGGGGAAGGAGGATGAGTCGATTGTACGAAAGATCCACGACTTTCAGCCCCAAGCGGCACTCTGACCCTCCAAATGGCCCACCACCATTTTCCTTGTTGGTATCGTCCCTATCCCTGAATCCAAGGTCGCTAATATCCTGCAACCTGTTCAAGCTTACGTTCAAGTACTCGAGGGATTTTGCAGGGCAAAAGAGACGATCGGGAAAGGTCCAAATGTTATTCGCGGAGAGGTCAACTTTCTCAATGTGTTGTAAATGTGCAAAGACTCCGGATGCAATATCCAAGCTCAAAACTGGCCAGGCTGTGTTATGCGTGCGAATTGTGAGGTTCTTGAGAAGTCCTAATCCGGCAAAGACCGAGGTTCCCAGCCTGCTCAATTTGCAGTGTTCAATATGAAGGGATCCCAACCTCGTGAAATGGGAGAGACTTCCAGCTTGCAGGGAGCTCTGATAAATTGAAGGTGGATTGTTTACCTCGCTCCCAATAAAAATATGTGTATGTACATCAAACAAAATATGCAATATTACCTGATAAAACAGTACATCCGAGCATTCCAGATTCAACGAAACCACCGAATCTCCCGATATTGTGGAGAAGTTTGTCTTATCAAATTCGCTATTGATCGTCCTCAGTCGACACGTGAGCGACACGTCGCCATTGTTTTGGCCAAATGAGCGTTCACATTCTTCAAGGTGTTTCCCACGAACTGATGTGATTGCGATGGTGGACATGAGAAGGACATAAATCACCATTTCTTGAGCCATGATGCCCACTTTCTCACTTGTTCTCCTCATTTTCGAAGGACCCAAATCCAAAAAGATTGGTTGGGAGGGGAAGAAGAAGCGAGAGACTTTTCCACTTTTGTTACTTCATACAATACGACTACCTTTGGTCTCTTCTCGTCCGTTTGGTGCTACCCTTTGTTGGGATGATGAGCTGTTGGAAGTTTTTTTAAAGTTGTTGGAAAGAAGCACCTCTGCCACTACGAGAGCACTATCGTTCATTCCGAATGTCCCTTTTAAAATTTACTGCTCAGTGCAGTTGAAAAAAACTCGGTGAACACGGTCACACAAATTCACACAACGTGGAAACTTTTCTTCTCATTTGCGTTGCACAGACAGAGAACAGATCCTTCTCACTTGATTCTATTTCTCTTGTTGTTGATAATACTTTTTAAATTTGTTACTACTTTGTGGTTTGGTTTGGTTCGTTTGTCGTTTCGATTTCTTCTTTGCATGGGAAGATTCTTGTCTTTTTGAATAGAAGAAGAACAATAATGAGATGATTTCGCTGTGAGGAGATTTAAAGCTGGGAGTTAAATGACGACGAGTCTTAAACGTCCTGGAATTTGGATAAAAAAAAGGAATAAAAAATTTGAAGGAAATTAATGACATTTTCTCAGTTTCACTCATCAATGTCGCATGACACGAGGTATGAGTAAGGAGGAAAGTGATACCGAAAAAGAAGATGATGATACTACCTAAAATAGTTTTTTTACTATAAGTCTTGAAAAAAAGTTACGTTACAAATTCCCTACTTGTAAAAGTGGAGTGTAATGTGTTGAAATGTTGAGACATGCATGGGAACAGGTTACGCAATGCATACAACATTTAGGAAAACCTCCAAAAAATCAATCAATCTCATTCCTCGTAAAAATTGTTTTACCAATATTCGTTCCTCTTCTTATTCAACTTCTTCTGAGATCGACCAACAAACCAACTGGATTTTAAATGAGAGCAACGTTAAAATGATTTCAGAGTGGAATTGGTCGTAATTTTCATGGTGCACCATATAATTTAGGTAACGGGATTGCCTTGTAATGTTTTAAGAAGAAAATGGATAGATGGAAAACTAGCTGCATGAACTTTTTGTGAGAAATGTTTACTTTTTTGTAAAATTTAAAATTTTTAAAAATTTAGACACGTTACACACTCGATTCTTTCCGCGTTGGGTAATAAATCTTGAAGGAAGAAACACAATAAGTACAATAATTCAGGACAAACTGTTTGGTATCAGTTTCATTGCGTCTAAAATTCCCTGCCTATTTACGACGAGCCGGTGGTGGTGGTGAGAGGACGATGAGTACCAACCAAGTAGTTACGATCATTTTGTTTTATGGTCTCATCTCATATCTTATCCGGTTTTTAAAAACCTTGGATCTCTCCTAACTGTCTTCTTGTTCTTTGAAATATGTATATAAATGAGGCTAGTTTGATATTATATCTTCCTCCCTGCATGCCGACGAACAAGTCTCAAGAATAGTTAATAGTTAGTCAGTCAGTAGACATACAAAACAAAGTAAATCTATCGACAAGCTTCGTTCTCAGAAGTCTCGAATTTCAACTTTTTGGTTGGTACATAGCCCTGGAAATTTTCAACATCAGAAATCTCTCTTTACAATCTTACGTAGCATCGAAGGAGCTGACATGACAGCTAAGTCAACAATCGAGAATCAACATTACACTCAATCTGCCCATCCAACTTGAGACACTTGAGAGGTGTCTTTACAAAATATGGGAGACCTACCAACCAGCAAACCAACATGGAAAAACTGTGTCGTTGCACAGTGTTAACCGTTTTACCACAAAATCTTTTAAACGAACGTAATAAATTCAAGTGTTTTGCTTTCTTTCAAAACAATTTGTTTTATTTGTCTTTAAAAATTCTTATCTTAATGGTTTAATGATTTAATTTTAGATTAATTAGATTAATTAATTTTAGACTAATTTAGAATAATTTTAGAATAATCGTTTTAGAATAGTTTTAGAATAATAATCGTTTTAGAATAATAGTTTTAGAATAATCTTGTTTGCTTCTTCTGGGAATTTTAATTTCAAAATTGGAATTGATAAGTTCTAGTCAAGGCTATTTAAATATTTAAGCGGATAAGAAGAAGATGCGTGTGTCTTGAAAAAAGAAACTATTTAAGCCTGTGTGTGCACATAATACTAAATAGATTGGATTTTAGTGTAGTGTATTTAGTTGATTGTTGATTGGTGATATTGATAAATTCAAGTCACTTGGTTCATTTAGTTTGTTGAATTTGGATTAGTTGGTGGATGGACTTGAGAGAGACTGACAAATGAGCTTGATTTACTTTTGCCTTTTTCAACTTGCATTTTACTTCACGACGTTGTTGGTGGGGGAAGAAGAAAAAGACGACTACTTTCGAGGCTTGAGACGAGATAAGACTTTGGCTAATTAATTCGACCATGAGAGCTGCTTTTGTAATGTAATTTGATATTGGATGCAGCAAAGATGCAGCAAAGTGCCTGCCTGCCTTGGTCTATGTGGATCAGAAAGATTGAATTCTTGACAAAATTAGTTTTGCTTAAAGCTTGTCTCATTTTTCTGAATGTTTTAAGACTTGAGTGCTCTAATTTCACAGGTAAATAATTTATGGTAACCCTAATAATAAACTGGTGCAAGGTGAGAATCTCTAGAAATCGGATGAGTTGTTCAACAATAGAATTTTAACAACTTTAATATGAACTCATTAAGGGAGATGAGACTCGTGTTTAGAAGAATTTATGCACAAGTTTATGTTTGTTTTTTTAAGGAAGAGGTGTATCTTACCTCGTTCTCAAAATCCGTTTTACAGTTTTCCGGCACAATTTACGTACTTCACTTGATAGCAGAAAACATGAAATTTTCACGCATTTTTACTGTCTCAAAATTGTATCAGTTCAAATACCAAAGTTCAGTTTATTCACATTCCACTCCTTATTCTAAAACCTTGTAAATTTCAAAAGTAAGATTTTCAGAGTTCTTTTCCTTAACAAATTCCACTCTTCTCTTGTAAATATGAAAACTCGTTTGAACAAGTCGTTTGACCAAGAGCAGTACGTCCTTTCGCAACGACTGCTTTACAGAAACTGAACTCTCGAGTCGAGATGCAGTCTCATTTGTTCAATTCGCTCCCTTCTCTCTGCTGCTGCTTTAACGGAAGGTTTGCTGGTTATGGATTCTCTGGTCTTCTATTCATCCATCCCACCAAAGTTCCAATCCTGTACTGAGGGCCTTTCGAAACTGTGGTATGGTGTTGTAGAGTTGGACAAAAACCGTACTTATATACAGAAACCAGTGCCTTTTCAATACCCTGAAGAGTCTCCGGGTTGTTGGAGCAGGCTTGTTACGTTCTAAAATGTTGATGCACTGCAAGTACGCCCTGCATGTGGAAGGAATGGATGCCTTAGTTGGTTAGCTTTTTTTCATGCGATGCAGTAACGTGTTGGATACAAAGTGAACGACTTGTAGGAACTCTTTCTTCTTCCCCCCATCCATCCATCCATCCACATTTCATTTCGAATTTGAAATAGGAACCGACACAAAGTTCAGTTGGGGTCTGTGTTCCCTCTTTAGTTAGTCACACTTTCATTATGTGATGGTGCACTGCGTTGGGATGATATTTTTCGAATAAGCGAGGCATGCTGTGTCCCTGTACGTATTTATATGTGCATGTGAGACTTCTTAAAACGTGGTGTGTAGGGAAGGAAGAAGAAGGGTGAGGGGACCCTTGTTATAATTTTGGAAGGTATGCATTCACTCATGGGAGAAGGAGTGTTGAGGAGGCTGGACTTGTTGTCAAGTCCTCATTTAGAAAAGTGGAGACGTAGTGCGAAGTAGGAGAGAGAATAGCCACGTAAAAGTATATAGGAAATGTTAATTGGATAATATTTATCAATATGAGGGGAAAAATAGATACGGGTTTTTAATAAAAATGAAAATTCAATGAGTATTGGCAAACTAATTATAAATTAGTAATTCATAATTTTGCGCATTATAACAAAATTCAGTTGAACATCAAATGTGAAGTAAATAGATACGAGTTTTTATTAAAAATAAAAATTCAATAAGTACCAACTAATCATAAATTAGTAATTTATAATTTTGCATATCATCGCAAAATTCCGTTACACATCGAATATGCAGTATTTTGTAGAAATTGTCGCACATCTGGATCAAACTTTACACGTTAGTAGTACAACATACATTCAATAATGGAGGTATATACATACATACATACATCTAGCTTCAGTTTATTTTATCCCATTCTTAAATTTGTCCCTCTCTCTCTTTGAATTTGTATGAAACTCGAAATGTTGAATGGCAAGTCAAAGAGTGCAATTAGGTAGGTTTAAGGCTCAGCATCGGGTCATTTCATCCATATGGTGAAACTATCAATCCATGAATCAGTTTATTTTATTTTATCCGTGTATGCTTCTTATACATCGCATACTTATCGCAATTCATCCATCGGTACAGTTCGACTCTAACAATAACAATCATACACAATGTGGACCTGGCAGCGAACGAAGGTCTTTTGTATGTACACTTGCATCCACGCACATAATAATATTCTCTCCACAATAATAAATGTTGAGACTGCGAAGTCTTGTCCGACCCAACTAAACAAATAGAATAATATACTCCAATCTGTACCTACTACATAGGTCTAGTTGTGCGTATGAGACTTCATTTTCACATATAAATATTTTATTTATCAGAAATTCTACATCTCTTCTGTGTAGAATGAAATAATCTGCTGGCTTCATTTTCTTCTTATGTTCACCAATAATACATATGTATGTACTCCACTTCATTGAGAGACTTTTGCATTCAAGGAGGACGAGAATAAGGAATGAGCCACCCTCATGACTATTGACTGCGTGAAACTTCATTGGAAATTTTGGGTTGGCTTGTGATACTGCTTCCTTCCTTCTTTCTTAATGGTCTTGAATAATGCTCTTTCACTTTTAGAAAAATTATAAGAACAAGAAAAACCCAAAGAAGGAAAATCTTTACAAGTCACCGCACGATGGAATGGAACAGAGAGCAAGAATTTCCGTGTTCACACTTTTCTGACTTTCCTTCACAGCTCATTATGATCGGCACGTTTTTCTTGTTCTTCCAAATCCAACGACATTACAAGCGTGTGCGTATTGATGCTACAAAAATGTCAAAAAAGCAACACATTTCTTCTCACTGAACATTACTTGAAAGTGTCTTCATTTTTAGATCTGCTAAATCTGGTGGATTGGAATGTGATTGAAATACTTGAGATTCCTTATCATTAAGCTGCAACTCTTAGTAAAATAAGAGTTTCGCAACCAAAATAAGTACTTACCCATTTGATCCTTGGCGTTCTCTTGTACAACTTCAATCTCTACTCTGAAAAGTCGAGATGACCAAATCACAGCACGGCACAGAACCTTTTGATTAATTCAGATTTGAATTAACCATAATGTTCCTAGAGCTTTTGCTTGCTGCAACACCACCATCGCCTCGCAAGTGGTGCCACACACACATGACAGCTAATAAAACGAAATAAAACAATGTATCATTTACATTTAAATTTATTGCAGCGAGTTGATTCAACTCTGTTGTGCTCAATTTCTTCTTTCTCCATTCAACCAACCACTAACCAAGCAGCAGTCGCAACGCAACGAGGAGATTGAGATGAATCTGACAGACAGACTTCATATACTAACAAACGATGAAGAGACATGCTGCTGGCTTGAGGATGACAAAAACCGGCCAACATTCACATTTTATTTATTCGCAAAATTGTACCCTAAGTCAGTCAGTTATTGTTGTGATTGTGACATGTCAAGTCAAACGCTAACAACAACAAGACTGGGATAATTTTCGTGGACCAAAAGTCAGTCAGCTAAATAAGCAGCACGCAGTCAATAGTCTCGTAAAAGTCGAATCAGATTTGATGCGTATTACACACACACCAACGTTGGGCTGCGGATGATAAAATTGTTAACCACAAAAGACGAATGGAATTTGTCACAAGAAGACAAATTTAATACGAGAAAAAGTTAAGGCATGAGGAGAGAAAGAGTGGATTTTTTTTCTTCTAATTCTGATTGGATCGTTCCCTGTCCTTCCTTATTATTATTCCCAGTGGCCGCGGAAGCCGTGGGGACATCTGGGGGCATTAACTTTGTAGGATAGGGGAGGGAGGGGTTTATATAAGATGGGGAGATGATGGGGACATAGAATAATCGTGGGGACATTGTCCCTCTGTCCCCACGGTTCCGCGGCCACTGATTATTCCTTTACAAAGTTGAGCACAGAGAAGTGAAGTTCTGCTCCGTCACTGTCAACCCTTTTCCTAATAAAAACAGAAACGCGAGATGCAAATTTTGGCCTGGTTGACACTTCTTATTTTCGGAAGGAAACAAGTAAAAAGTTTGGCGAAAGGGGAATGAATCTTGACACCATTTTTGGTTTGTTTATATTACTTTTAGATTTATTTAGTAGCGAAATTATGTATGCATACATACATTTATAATCCTGATGACAAAAGGGGATGAAGGAATAGTCATGGGAGAGAGGATTTGTTTGTGGTTTGCCTGATTTAAATTTTTGAGAAATTTTCAAAATTAACTAAATGGAATGGATTGCAAGTAAATTGGCTGAAGCAATTTCACAACGAGGATTACAATAATAGAACGCATTGTTAATTCGCATCTCCCTTCCTGGGACCTGAAGGATGATTAATTTTGCATGAATGGAAATTAACCTGCTGGGCATTATTGTTTCACCTTTGTTAATAATTGCAGTATATATCATTTAACCATGCAACCTCAAAAGTCCTGATGCAAACTTATCAACCCGTCTAACTCAGAATAATGTACATACAAAAACACGGTCTGATCAATCAATATTGCAGCAACACAATATGTACCCACTGCTCGTTATAATTATGCCTTGTTTCAAACTGAAATCTCTTCATTGCAGCCATGCATCATGTGTGTTGTTGGTTATTAATTTAGTCCTCATCACATATCGTGGATTGGATATCTGCATGAATTTCTAAACGACACCAGCTCTTTGTTTCATTTTCTGTCCTCCACATTACTTATTAGATACTGAGGCAAAGTTTTATTTAATGTCGATGTACACACAACCACTGCAGCAGAGTTTGTATCCATGTATTGGCCGAGTTCATTTGCGTGATGTTGATGTTTTATTCATGAATAATTTTACGATGACAGGGATGAGTAATAATACCACGATGCCACACCAGCCAACCAACCACAAGTGCAATTCTAATTTCCAATCTCCAATTTTCAAAAGACTACAGCACCAACTAACTATTCAGTGTCGTGTCATGCGATATCTTTACCAACGCTATTAATCAAATTCCACTATTACATACTGCTACCGACGGAAGGAACTATTTACTGTTTCGAAATGAATCTGTCCAATGTCAAAAAAATCGTAAATCGGATAAAGATGAAGAGTCGGGGGGTCTGTACGTATCTCTGATATATTTATTTATTACGTATATATTTTTTGTATATGTATGTTTATATAATGCAATGCACCGTCTCAGTTAGGCTGGCATTTTATGGAGACTTTTTAATGCGAAAAAATTTATCTTATGATAAATTAACCTCTTTACTACTCCCGTTCCAACAAAGGGAAGGCGGGGGATGAAGTGAACTACCGCGCTACGATCGAGACTTTGATGGATCGTATTATCCACAGGAATGAATTTACTTTCTTTAATTTCATTTTATAGCTGGGGCTGCTGGGTTGCATGCACGAGTTACGTAAGAGTGTGTGCAGGCATGTCGTACTCGTCTTCTTGTGTTGGAGGATTGTCAACTTGGTTCGAAAGGCATTATTATTATCATCATCAACTCTACGACGAGACATGGATAAGCACGAAGTACGACAAGAAGAGGCGTATAAAACCGTAAAACGAAGTGAAGCGGAGGGACGATTATGGAAAATGCAAATTCGCTTGGATGGATGAATAAAGAATATAAGTCTTGTCATAGTTGGTTGACAGTGAAGGTAACAACTTTATTTATGCCGGATTTTTTTTTCTTTTACATTTTTGATGATATGTACTTGTCCCAAGAAGACAAGAGTATTATGCCGTCGATAAGAGGTGGAAAACTAGTATTTGAAGAAGCCCTGCTGTGATTGTACCGTGTCGTAAGATGGTGAA